TCGACCATCCTCGCAGCAAAAAAGAATTTTATGAAGGCAAGAAGCATCATACATACCAATGTGAACCCCGTCATCCCAATAAAGCTGTCCCTCTGCAAACAGCGTGTCATTCAAAGCAACAGTGAGTCCCATCGGGTTTTTTCGGCTATGGAAAACAGAATAATGTTTCCTCAATTTCCTCAGCTAATCACAGTTCATATTTATCAACTGTTAGAAATTTTTTTAGAAATATTGTATACCGCTCAATTGATCTCCCATATTCATCTTCCTAAGCCCATGCTATTAAATTTAAAGGAGGACATTAGGAGGAAACAAAAAGAAAAACCAGCCATAAAGCTCCCGTGCTATCATATGTGTATCTTCTCTGAGGACTGGTGGCATTTATAGGTAATTGTGCAAAACTAAATTTTAAATTTTCAGTTAATCTTACCTGTAAAAAGTTGTATTAGCAGGTCTTTGCCAAGCAAGGATGTATCCACCTCGAATATGCAGGTTTATATGTTCCAAAGGAGCTGGTAAAAGTTTGAATTGTCCCCTAAAACCAATCTCTTCATTCTATTCACACACACACACACAAAAAAAAAAGGTCTTCTATTCTACTGAATTGCTGTCACTTCACAGGTTTTTTTAGAATGAAATTATCATCTTTTGCTAGACAGATTAGTCAGGAGTTGTTACTGCAGGAGTAACTACATAATGATTTTAAGAGAAAAACTCTGAAATTCTGTATCTATAAAAGACTGGTTTGACTGTAGGTGACAGCAGATGAACCAAAGGGGCCAGTCAGGTGAAATACGACGTTGTGATTAATGAAGTGATTTTTGATGCCCACTCTTCCTGTTACCAGATTTTTTCTTATTTGCTGTGAAAGATGATGCGGCTAAACCTGTTTTGTCTTTCTCTATTCCAGCATTCCTTACAAAGACATTATGTATATCATTTGAGGGTTAAAAAAAGTCAATAGAAGGACTTCAAATTAAAGGTATTATTTCACCTTTTAATTTACCCTGACTGTGGTCATGTTATTATACATCATTATACAGGAATCAAGTTGGTTTTTTTTTAATCAGCTAAGTAGATGTTGTATTGATAAGAACTGATACTGAAAGCAAGTTTGTAAAAGGGAGAGAGAGGGTTCACACCTCACCCGCACTCTCAGCACACCCTGCTGCTGTCTGAACAGCATTCTGAAGAAGACATGTAAAATACAGTTTTTAAAAGGACTTACTGTGTAGTAATCATACCAGCGGGCATTGGGTAAGTAAGCATTCACTGTTACAGCATTCTGGAATTAAAGATACACATTTTAGGTACCTTAAATCAAAAAGTGAAGTTTAGCTAAAGTGACTTTAATATTTTCGTAAGTGCTTAAAAACGTACCTGTTGCATCACAGGGCTGATGAGCAGTGCAGGTCCCCAAAGGAACTGCTCATATATTTCCCAGGTTGTTCTGTCTTCCACAAACCTGGAAGTTAGTGAAATAATGGTTAGACATTGGGTGCTGAACTTTTCCACAGTGTTCCTTCTTTAAGACATTTTGTCAGTAATTGAATCTACTATTCCTAGTATCTACTATTTCCTCATCTTTATTCTAGTATTAATAATTCATAGATCAATTAATGCTTGCCAAGAATACATAAAGATCCTAATGTGAAACTCATTAGAGAAATGCAAGCTATTACTTAGCTTTCTTTTTTTGCCATTTCTTTGCATTTGCTTTTCAGTGTATTTAGATCACATAAATCAGAAGGTCTGTTGTGCTTGGCCTGTATTAGCAATAATAAAATTAGGTAGCAGACAGACTGGGAACCACTTTCTAATTTGCGCCACTTTTTTCTTAGACAGTTTGCAAGTCAATACATGCAAACAACTCTGTTCCTCAGCCAGGACATACATGTAGATACTAGACCACATCTAACTCCACAAGAGAAGGAGTTAAAGCTTTTGCAGGTACTGCCCCACCTGACAAGGAACAAAGAAGGCTTTGTGTGTCTAACAACATTTTTTTTAAAAATCTGCTATATCAGCTTGGACACACACACAAAAAAGCCATTTTTCCCTGCAAAACTCTCATGATTTGTGACAAAATTCCCTCTTTTTGCTTAAAGTTTTTATCCAGCTCTTTTTACAACATTTGTTTTTTGATTCTACATATGCCCAACATTTTGTTGCTTGCCCCTAAAGAAGTTAAAGGTGAGCTTTAAAATTTAAATATTACTCCTAGAGAAGCAAATGTTCAATTTTGCAGAGTGAAAAATGGAGAACTAGTGCTGTTCAAGTGAGACTTGATATTGAAAGCTCACATTCTCAATCTCGTGCTTTTTTTAAAAAAATAAAAATTGCTGTAACCGAGAGAAAACTTTATTATCAGGAGGGTTGTAACCACAGAATTTTTAGTGGAAATTCCTGATAAGGAGAGCAAAGGAGTCACACTTACTCATGGAATATGGGGCGGATCACAGTGCTGCCATGGGCATGAGCGTCATACATTAATGTGTAGAGATAGGGTAACAGGGTGTATCTTATATTCAGCACGTTCCGGGAAATCTCCTCAAATGTTGAGTTCCAGGAAACAGGATCTTGCCTCTGAAAGAGAAGAGACCGTTGCTACTCAAGCTGGATTGTTTCGTTCAGAAAACCTAAAAAAAAAAAAATCAACACAGCAAGACAAAGCTGAGGAAATTTCTCCTCCGAACTAGAGCACCTTCATTTATTTATTCTTCAATTAAGGAGCAAGTGGCACTAAAACCAGTAGATATCACTGTCAGCCCTAAGAGGGGAACTAGAAATAGGGAAGGTGAGGAAAACCCGGCGGGAGTACTGTAAAAATGTTTAATGCAAAGTGTCCCGAAGGCGTGACATATCCCAGTGTACATAATTTATTATCCTTCTTTTCTGCAGGGCAGCACACGGGACTTGCAAGAAGAGACCGAAGCACTAGTGACTGATGTGAGGGAGCCTTCCAATCTTTATTAAATGTATTGAACAATACCGTGGCAAATTGGGTAAGACTGGAAGCAACATGATAACCCTGAATCTGCATTTTTAAAGGCTTTAAAAGTCCTATCGAAAGGTGTGTCGCTGCAAGATAAAGCACACATTTTTTGAAAAGGAGACTTTAAGCCATTAGATATATGCCATATAAATGGCTCTACTCTGCTAGACCTGAAGCTTTAAGTGGAATAGAAGTGCTGTTTCCATTTTTCTTTATTTTTCCAGTTATCTTGTTTTACAGCTTTCTACAATATAGTCCTTAGCCAGCACAGACCTACATTTAGGCAATTATTTTCCTTTACTCTTTAAAGAAATACAATATCTGATGATGGCAAATGTGCAAAGCAACAAAATTGCCAAGTCGTACTCCAGAATCTTATTACACCGTTCCATTTTCCCATTTGTTGTATAATTATGGACAATTAGGGCTGAGAGCACCAAGGTCAGTTTTGCTCCCTTAAGTGCGTTTGCCATAAAAGCGCTCTGTTTTAGTCTGGCCGGTGTAGTGCGTTTAAATAAAAATGGCATACAGGGAAAAATATGTAGGAGTTTGAATCAGTCAAAGCAAACGTAGAGTATGCTTCCTTCAAGTGGTCCAAATCCCAGAGCAGCCCCTCTGTGGGCATAAAACCTCCCAGGTGAGAGGGAGGGTTACAGCAGAGCTAGCATGCAAGTAAAAACAATTATTTATTTGATAAAAAGCCAAGCGTGTTCTTTTCTTGTCCATTTTGCTCGGAATGTACTTTCTTTGAGGCAGGCCAGCTCGTGCAGTGTTCTGGCTGGTCTCTACATGCGTGTTGCAAAGGCCCAGCCATTAACAACCGTTAAAAAATTGTGACTCACCCTTGCTCCTTTCACATTGTGATTCCGTGAGTATGGGTAAAACGCACCCAGTTGCGTCCAGCGAAGACACAGCTGATACTCTGAGTCTTTGAAGAAGCCGCAGATATCAGCCCCTGTCTGAAATTTTTAAAATTATCCAATTGGAATACTATACATTCATGTACAGCATCAAGATAATTAAATGTAAGGTTATTACTCATTAGCTTACATAAGATATTCCAAAGAGACTGAACTCCATCATACCTGAAAGAAAATAATTCAACATTACTAGCTGGTTTGTTTTTCCCTCTTTGGTATGCTATTGGTTACATAGATAGTACATACTGTAATGCTGAATGAGAAATAAAAAACCAAAACACAACCCCCACGATTTCTCTAATGTGTCATGTTTTTCTGCTACAGAAAGAGATGGGAGCTGGTTGGTCAGGAGCAAAGAAAGAAGTGAGTGGCAGGACACAGGGCAGGAAGGTGGCTGGCTCCAAGGGAATAAAAGAGCTCCCAGCACCTGCTGCAGAAGCGAAGAAGTAAAAAAGGAATTGACCACAAATTCTTCTTGCTGAACTAAAGGGCTTATTTCAGCTAAAACCACTAAAAGCAAGTAGATGAAGGAAAAGAAATAACTGCACACCGTAAATTGAATACAGATCCTTTTCCTTCTACATACCAATAACAGATTTAGCTAGCTGATCCCAAGCTGCAGTGTTATCACCAAGCCAGTGTCCTGCCCATCTTCCGCTACTGGGATATGTGGAACGGGTGATAACAATCCCACGCTCCTTGGTGGCACTCTGCAAACCACTGACATTGAAAATAGACAAAAAAAACACATTATGTGAGAAAAATTACATGAGAATTTATTACATAACATCCTCTTTGAAAATAAACAGAACAGCTTATATTTTCATAGCGAAAGGCAGCATTGTTTTATGCATGAATATGCATACATCCAATCTAGATGTGCTTTTTACGGCAATTCACTATGATTCACACATACACAGGAACTCAACAGTGTCAGCCAACCTGTAGCTGGAAAAAGAACTGTCAAAACAAGGAGGTGCTAGAATACAGACTTCCAGCTCAGGCTAATTGTTGTGTGTGAAAATACGAATGTAGCCCAACTTGCACATTTTCTATGGGCTCCACAATATATTCCAGGCTACATCATTCCTTTCTTAAATTACCTGAAAAATTGCAGCAACAGTTGAAAATAATTTAACAAAACTCATACCAAAAAGATCATAAGGGGGAAAATAGAGGTGCCAGGAATATTGGACCTGTCAGTATAACTCTAGTTGCCAAAAAGGTATTGGAACAAAAAAATAAGTAATGGATCTGTAGTCACTTCAGAAACATGAAGGTGACATGATATCAATATGAAATGACCAACATGTATTTGTCTAGAAGCAAACATATTAAACCAGCTGTTTTCTGCTCAGGGCAGGTAAAAGGCCTTACAGCTAAGGAGTGCTAACAATGTGTGTGACTACCTTGTCATTAGCTGAGCTCTTGGTCTGATCACTTTTGGCTTCCTCATAAGCAGAAGAGACTTCAACCAGAGGTTAGTAACCTTTGGAGGATTGTGGGACTTATTCCTCTTTCCCAAATTAGAGGCAAGAACCTACAGGGCGGGAAACATAGAGGTGCTTGGGTTTGGGGGATAGAAGGAAACAGCTAGCACCAGGCAATGACTGTCATGCCAGCGAAGACACAGCTGATACTCTGAGTCTTTGAAGAAGCCGCAGATATCAGCCCCTGTCTGAAATTTTTAAAATGATCCGATTGGAATACTATAAATTCATATACATGATAATTAAATCATGTACAAGATAATTAAATGTAAGGTTATTAGTCATTAGCTTACATAAGATATTCCAAAGAGACTGAAATCCATCATACCCGAAAGGAAAAATAATTCATTACATTTTCCCCCCTTTAGTATGCTACTGGTTACATAGACAATACATATTCAACAATTAACCTTCTATGATTCTGGCACTAAAACCCTATGGCCTTGCTCAGGATCATTGCTATTGGGAGGGGAGACCGGCTTGCCAATGACTCAGGAGAAGAGCTCCTGAGGCCCTGGAGGTGTGGGTGTGAATGAGCTGGGTGGAGAATTGATTCACCAATTAACCCCATTACCTCAAATAAATAAATAATAATAATAATTTTCTTAAATAAAGCCGTGGTCATTGCCACAAAGTACCTGCAAAGGCAACCAAGTAAGCTTTAGGAAAAAAAAAAAAAAAGTTTAGCTGAGTTGAGGGGAATTTATGCTTTCTAGTTGCTCCGCCAAGGATATGAGCACCTTTCTTTGCAACATATGCTGTTGCTCTATGCTATGTGACCTGCATGGATACATTACTGCTCCACTTTCTTAGAATAATTCCTTTGCAGCTGTGCACACGTACTGTGAATCATTACAGCAAAACACTAAACCGCAATACTAGTTAGAAAGCTACACTGATTAAATCGCACTGCTCTCCAATGCTAGCTCCGCAATAATTGCCTAAACAGCTGCTTCAATAAGGCACTATTTATTTATTTTTCTACAGGATTTGCAGCTTTAGTGACACTATAATTACAGCAAAAATACACAAGTCACTTAAATTACCGTGGTAATTAAACTAGACTAATGTGCTGTAATTATTGCTTCCAAGACAAACAGTAAGTTTTCCAGTATCTTTTATTTCTTTGTAACGTACTATCAAACATTTTCAGCCTCTGCTTGCTTTACCCAACTTCTACAATGCCTTGGAAATTGCAGATAAAATTTGAAATGTAAAGAAAGTGTATGTATGTCGTGCGCAGAACTGCTCAAGGATGAGCATGGCCTGAGTGTTTTGCTGACTCGAGGTGCCAGTTCTCTGCTTCAGGACTAAGCCACAGCTGTGTCCATGAAAAGCAATTACCCATGTCACAAAGCCCGAATTAATCTCCAAATGGTTACTGTATTCACTACTAAGGGTTCTGGCTTTCAAGGCTATGCAAAAGTCTCATTATGGAAGAATAGCGTTAAGCCAATATCCAGAAGCTCCTTCTGTCTAACACATGGAGAGATGAAATTACATTGCTGCATAAAAAATTGCTGTTCACTTTTAAGTTACAGGCTTTTGTGAGTTTTGCAGGCAAGCGATCTTCTTGTTTGGATGTTTAGTGTTAGAATAAATTATTATTGCAACACGTCTTCGGTTGCACAAGTACTCCTTCAGTTAGTACCAAAGAATAAATTGGGAGCTGATAGATGTATATACACATACTTTTTTTTTTTTAAACTCACATTTTTCTATAAATTTCAAGTGTGAGAATATCTGTATGAGCTCAAATCACATGTGATTTGTCTGACAGCAGAGGTATCAGACATTCCTTCCTGTCCTGTCAGCAATTTCACTCCTGCCTTGACTGGCAGCGCTGCCATGGCATGCTGCCAAATATAATATCTACTCCGTCAAAAATTCAAGCAGCCTTGATATTTTCTTTCTTTATGGCTATATCAAAGTTACCAAGGGCTTTAAGGTCATTAAGACCTATAAAGAACACTGTTTCCTTGCTTACTTGTTGAATTGGAAATGACACAGCACAGATATATTATCATTAGATCAGGTGTTATCAAAAGCAGTCTGGGGTACTATTCAGTAAGGAACAGATAACGACGTTTGCCTTGGAACTGAGAAAGTACGTTCTTAAGAGTAAAGCCTTATGCACACAGCTGGCATTTTAAAAGTCACTGTTTCCCCTTTTCACTACTACTAAATTTGTTTTAAACAGAGGACATAATCAAGCCCTTCTTAAATTGACATTGTTAAAAAACTGTATTTGTTTTCCCTCACTAGATGTATAGTGTAAGGCAAAAACAATATCAATGTTAGGAGTAAACCCGGCTATCCCAGCAAAACCTAGAAACAAAAAGTATTTTATATTTTAATTACAGTAATTATTGAGACTATCGTTGAGTAATTACTGTTCCCAACAGCTGATCAAAATGTTCAGACCTGTTCTCCATTCTGCCCTGTGAATGAATACCCGAGCGGTGTCTTTTGACTGACTGCTCTCGTTTACAATGCAGAGCATCGCCCCGGGACAGCCTTGGTGGCTGTCTCATTATAGAAGCCTCTGTTGAAAAGGCAACATGTTGTGCTTGAATGTGCTGGGACAAGGAAACGCTCGATGGCGAGTAATTATATCCAAATTAAACTGTCTGAGAAATAGCACCATGGCCATCTTATTTCATAATGCAGGTCAGCAATTAAGCTTGCACGACATAACATTTATATGGATGAAGTCCTCAGAACTGGTATAGCAAGAATTGCTCCCCAGCTAGGTGAGCAAGAAGATTCTTTAGTATCAGACATGGGTTAACTGTTTTTAAAAGGTACCTTGAAAATTTTTTTTTTTTTTTCTTCTAGCTAGTTCCAGTTGCAGAAGGTGTTTATTGCAGTGAAACCGTGGGAGCACAGCTTCAGCTCAGACCTGCACAGACCCACCTCACCTTCTCCTGCCCATCCTTTCCAGCAGCTCAGGTTCATACCGCCCTGCTTGCACCGCGGGCGAGATCACTGTGTGAACTGAGCAGTAATGTGACTGAAATAATACCAACTGCAAGAGCTATAGCACTGCTGCTCAAACTTCTGAACATCAGAACTCCGCTTCTAACTGAATTGAAGAATTGAAGATATTAGAATGAAAAGAAAGATATCTCAGTCTTGTTAAATAAACTGATGAAAGTTTTGGCTGTAATAATATAGACACAGAATATTCATTTGTAACATATTTTGGAGACAACAAGAAAGTATGCAAACTTCACTTACTCTAGTGTAGGTTTTGTTTGTGACCATCCATAAAGACTGTGGACATCGTAGTGTCTAACAGGGGTACCGTCTGGAAGATATTGTTGACCTTCCATGCATGGAGTTTTGACAGTTAATCCATCTGACCGGTATCCCAAATCTAATGAAAGGGAAAAAAAAATTATTTTTTTAATAATGAACATTCAATAATCATTTGAGATACTTTTTCTTAATTTTCATAACGTCTTTGGCATTCATGCTCTTTTAGTTATGCATACTGTCATTTATTTATTTATAATTATAAAAATAGCATTTCCAGTTTTCTGAAATAGAATATTTCTAAAATTCCTATGTAGGCATCTGGGTCTGTAAGTGTTTTAAGATCTCAGTTACAGATGCTCTTAGTGAAGAGGCTCAAAGAGTGAACAGTATATCCAAATTCAGAAGATATTGCAAATCTTTGTAAACACTGTCACATCATCCGTACAAACAGAAAAATGGTGGGGTGGGGGATATGGTCTGTGTCTGAATATTAACTTCCTGACAATTCCTGAGAAAGTATTCATAATAACTGAAGAGAACTGTAAGCAACAAGAGTATGCTAATAAACCATTAATAAATAATTACTACTTAGTACTACTTTACACCAGTACTTAAGTAAAGCCAAGCTAAGAAAGCTAAGTATTTCAAGTATTTGACTGTATAGATAAATGTTAATGAGAGGAGACACAAGGATATTTTCTAAATTTTTAATTAATTGCATTATTTGTCTGAGAAAACTGCAAAACAGAGAACTACATTCTCTACCATGCCTAAAGGAAAGCACCTAGATATAAAATAGGTATCAAAATCCATATGCAGGCAAGTAGCTGAAAATAACTTTATTTTTAAAAAGTGCCATGCAGTTACTGCTCCCACTGAAACAGATGGGGTTGAAGTGTGCCCATAATCTCAGAAAAAAAGGGGCACTTTCAGTTAGGAGTTGTAGTTTTATATACCTAACTTTAGGCATTTACGCCACATATACCATATAAGAAATTACGTAGTAACCAGAATAACCTAAAACTGTTTTAAGGAGTGATCAGACTTACGAGGTATATATGGTGGCATATTTAGGAGGTCATTTCTACAGCCATCAATGGCACCATTCAGAAAAGCTGCTGGTTCATTCATGTCCTAAAAACATAGAGCAAAACCTGATTGTTTTTGCTTCAAACCTGTAAAACACACTAAAGTCTAAATTACAAATAAACAGCATTGTAGAAGTCCTCAGGAGCCCTTGCAGCTGCAGGCTCAGTCTGCCGTTCCATGTTTTCTTGACACATTCACATGTGGCATGGTGCAGGGACAGGGAGCCACAAAGTGTTTCAAGGGAAGAACAGTGAGCCTGGGCCCTGTTTCCCCTGTGCAGACAGTGTTACAATGGAGGAAGAAAATCATGATATACAGAGGCAGTGCAAGTGTACAACCTAAAGCCAAAGTGGTGCCTTTGGCTGGGGGGCTCAGGTTCTGCCTGGTGCTCAGCTTGTTTTCCCTCCAGCCTATCTGCTAGTGTCTGGCAGAGAACAAAAAATCCAGAAATTGAATGCATTTCTACACTTACAATCCACAGGCCATCAAACTTGACGCTTCTTGAGGGGTTGGTGGAATTGTTGTAGAACTCCAGGATTTCTCTCTTCCACCACCCCCTTGTGGAATTGCGGAAGAAGTCTGGGAAAGCAGCATGTGCTCCGTAGATCTGTAATAATAGTAGGAAAACAAACCAGATACAGGATTGAAAGCATCCCACTGTTAAAAAGTTGGAATTTGTTTAAAAAATTAAAAATTTGAAAAAAATATTACTTGTTCACTAACTTTTTTGGCTCTATTAGGAAGGCTGGCCAGTTTCTGCACCTTATTCCTCCCAAGATTTATCAACTAGTTTGATGCTATTTTCCTTAATTAACGTGCTGCTCTGCCTGTATTTGGGTCCATAACCAAACCGTATCAGTGTTTACCTGTATTTGGGTTTGCTCAGGCAGTGACTCGTTGACTTGCACGTTGGGAAGAAATGGCCAGACCTAATAGGACAAAGGACATTTTAAAATAATCAAACCACACTGAATATAAACTGAGCATCAGCAAGAGACAGCTATAACCATTATTCCTTGATACCTATGTGAATGACAACACAAACTGAAGACAATTCAGTTTATAGTATTTATTCAATGTGTCATTTACAGCCAGGCATGAATATACCATTAGCAGACTTTCCCCCTATGGCTAGCACTGAAGTCTAGGCTGACATGTTGCTCACTTGGATACAGCATGCTTCTACTGTCATCAACTTTTTAAGAACAGTACCTTGGAATATATAATGTCATTGGTATTGGGCCATTTTATGAAGACATCGTCCTGCACACCTCTTGAGAAGGTAGGATAATTGGTTTCATTTCCAGAGATGGCTGGATCCTACAATTAAAAACACTTTTACCCTTATGCTCAAAAAACAAGTTTAGAAATGCTGTTGAATATATTCTGCATTCTGCAATGATATATTGAAATTTAAAAGCAGTATTCAAAACTGACCAGGATAATGATAAATCTCATTCCTTCTTCTTTTATTCTGTTAATCAGAGCTGGTAATCCAGCAAAGCTTGTGCTAATGGTGAAGTCCAGTTGCCTTTCCATATGGTCGATATCTACATATTGGACATCCTGCAGTTCACAAAAACAATTAATGTAAAATGAATTTTTTTTTCCCCAAATACGTATTTATTGAAAATCTGCCAAAATAAGTAAACTACTGAAGTTTTGAACTGTAAAATTGGAAGCAGCTGTAACTTTAACCTAAAGCTATTAAATAAATATTACTCAACCTATCAGCAAGTCCAATACAAAATAAACCTTTCACTACTGCATCTAGTCTGAGGGTAGAAATTAATACATGATAGAGAAAAAAGACCTGGATTTGTACATACGTGTATGTACACAGAAACTGAACCTATGTTACCATATCTATAAGGAAACAGTGGAAACAGTTGTTCTGTATTGAAATAGTGATGTTAATTACATTTAAAATGAAGTCACATTCAATTTACAGTATAATTTTGTTAGATCTATGTGTTGTTTCAACTTTCCCAACAACAACCTGTGCCAAATCATAGCTGACTTGACACAAAGCAATATACCATTGGAATGATGCTGCTTCATTTTCTTTCCTGCTTGTTTTTCTTGTTGACCACTGCTCCTTCATAGCCAGCATGGCAAGAGTCCATGACTGACTAAGGCATCTGGGTGCTTCGTTGGTATGAATGATAAAGAAAATAAAGCAGCCTGACATCTACATTTAACATGGCCCAGAGTGTGCAGAGATGTTCAGCTCTGACATAAAACATAGTTTGCTCTACTCTACCATGGTGGTGGTTTTTTTGATTGTTTTTTTATTTTGTGTTTAATGGTCTTAGTTAATACTCTGAAACCAAAAGTTCAGGCATGAGCTCAAATGTGAACTGCTACCAGCGTACATAGGGAATCCCAGCTGCCTTCATGTCCTCCACTAGCTGGGCAATTTCCGAGTCATTCTTGTATCCATAGCGGCACAACTGGAATCCCAAAGACCAGTACGGTGGCATGACAGGTCGTCCAATCAGCTAAAAATAAGAAAGAATATTTGTGGTGAGTAGATGAAAACAAAACCAACCAACCAACCAAAAAACAGCATTAGTTTGTAATAGAGTAAGAATCCTACTGCAGTGTACTCCTGAACAACAAGTTCTGGTGTTGGGCCCAAAACCATGTAGAAGTCGAGAATTCCTCCAGTGGTGCGGTACGTCAGGGCAGGGGTTGGCTGGAACGTCACATCTGGAAATAGGGGAAGTGAAATGAGAAAAGGATGCTTAGATTCACTACTATTGCAAAACACTGACCATAAAAATAAAATATATTGAGAAAATAAAGTGGAGGTTTTCTTACCCATTGCATTGCTGTTAAGCAAGAGAACTCCATGGGCATTGCCGTCTTCTTCAAGAGCCATGTAAAATGGCTGATAACCGTAGGAATTCAACTTGTACTGCAAACAAAATAAAATACATTCTACTGGGGAAACATCGCAAGCATTCACTTATTTACATTTATTAATGAATTTAATAAAAGACAAGACACACAACTGCCAAACACACAACAAATAAACTCCAAAATTATATACTTACACCCTACATACCTATAAAACATACCTGTAGAAGATCACTTTCAACTTCACAATTTGAGTCAGTCCTGTTCAGACTGACCAGGCAGGAAGGAAAGCAAAGGTATTATTGCCTTTAAAATTTGCTAATGAGAAAGTGCTTCCCCAGGACAAAACTTTCCCTTCTTTTCAAACAGTAGCAGGTGTCTATATGATCAGGAGATGCTGGTGACATCCTGTTGTCTTTCATTTACTCAAAAATATATTGAAACCTGAACTGGAAATTAAAGCTATAATTTTTTATTGGTTATTCCCTGCAAATTGTAAACATTGTGCTATCTTGTAGGAAATAACACAAGTATACACATAGAAATAAGATTTCTGATTTACCTCTGTAAGTACTAGTTTAAACCCAAAGTAGTGGGAGTTGTCCTGACTCACGTCTAGCTTCCAGAATAACTAGCTGAGAAGATTAAAAAAAGGAGTAATGTGCTGTTATTTCTAAGCCATTTGTTGTCTTCCAACATCTGACTCAGGGACTGAGCTCCACACATTGGTCTCTCTGGTCACAGACAAAGAATAGGTTTAAAGACCATTGCCATTGACACACCATCCAAATTATAAGCCATGATAAATACGATCAAAGTCAATAAGTGTGTCCAGTACCAGTGGACATCCACTGGACTTTAAAGTCCTGCCGAACGTCTCTGCACTTTCGGCTCATTGGTCCAAAAGCTACATTTCTTTCTACTTACAGTAGGAGGCTGATCCCTTGTGAACATTCCCCAGGTGTGCCAGCTCATGTTACGTCGAAACATGGTGTGCTCAGTTTCTCCAAATCCATATAAATACTGGGATGCTAAGCGGGTAGAAATCTGAATGAACATGTCGCTGAACGTGAAGGTGGGCAGCTGTGAATCCCAGCTAAAATGGAAAGAGGAAAATAAAAACAAGAATATAGTGTCCTCAGTGCTGTGTTTAGCGGGCAGACACTTTTTTTAGGCTTTTCTTTTTCTCTGAAAATCTTACTCTTCAGTCAAGGTGAAATAAGACTGTTATGGTTATCGAGAAAACTTAAAGCATATGAAGTGGGGATGTCTAAGAATTTGATACACAGTTTAGAGGCGCAAAGTCCTCTGTGTCTCTCAGAGGGATATATATAATGCACAGGCAGCATGCATAGCAAGTTGCATCATATTTTGGCAATTTGGTGAGAAAATGTGTTTCAGGAGAGTATGATTATATTTTCCTCCCAGACTCATCCTTGGTGCCACATCGAATATAGTAAATAAGGTGCTTTTTACAGTTCACTGAACTTTTTGTGCAGATTACACTGAAACTGTATTCATAGGTCTCATTTGTTGTAAATCAGCATCTTTACAGTTGGAAACAAACTGCAGCCTGATGGTGCTCTGCCAAAGAATTACGTCATTCCAGGAGGCTGAATTGCAGTTTGAATGATTACTGTGGTTGGCAAAAAAGAATTCAGCTTGCAATTAAGTTTTGAGTACTTTAAAAAATGACATAAGAATGTTTTTTTGAATAAAAAACTTAACACGCGCAACTGCTAACATCATTGTTCTCTGTTTTCTAGCTCTGACTTAAGCTTAATCAAGGAAAGAAATGAAGATCCTGTAAGACTGTAAGTTAGTTGAGACACTACTTTCTTCTAATTATTTTTTTCCTAACCATTCCCCAAAACTGAATCAAATGATCAATCCTTAATGATCAGTGCTGTGGCGACCTAAGGAAAATTTTAGGAAGCATAGAAAATCATTGTGCCTCCCAGAGACTTGGGAACTACACAAGAAACAGCCTTTGGAGTTGTCTATGTTCTGCACTTCAACATGTTGTTACGGACTTTTAACAAGTGTCAGACTATGAAGTGACAGGGGAAAAACCTTAGATGATTACAAGAAAAAATAGGATATTGCTCAAGGCACCTTCTCCGTCCTCTCCCTGGTCAGTGCTCTCATATAATGCAACGGTGAAGCCATATCTGCTGGAGCAGCATCTGGCATTTGACAGACAGAGCTATTTCGTGGGAAGGATACAAAAGCCAGTCTTGAGGTATTTAAAAAGTAGTACACAAGAAAATGGTTTGGCTTGAAAAGAGCTAACAAAAACAAGTGAAATAAAATAAAATTATTATGGCTTACATGGTTGTTCCTGTGCTTTTGCGCCAAACCTGTATACCAAATGGTTTTTTCTGAACTGATACTTCATACAGTCTTTCCTTGGCCATGCTCATTGGGGAGCTCGGGAGATTCAGTGGTACCGGAACCTCATATCGTGCGTTTTGATAATCATAAATCTATGAAGTAAAAATCAATTCATTTCAATGAACGAGTTGTTTGAAATCTAACCTATAGTGATAGAAATCTGAATTCGTTAAAATGAATGTAGAAAATTGTTGAAAACACTTGCTGAGAGGAGTATTTTCCTTCAAGACGTATTCTTTAACCAATTCTGTCACAGTATTTGGTTTGAAAAACAAAAACCTTAAGGATTTATTCTGGATCAGGAATGACTCTTGTCATTTTGTCTAATCATTTATATATATGAATTTAAAGTATATACCTATATTTAAAATACAGGTGTGTGTGTATATATATGTGAGTATGGTAAATGCCTTTCTGATTAATCTTTTAGCCAACTTTAAGAGATTTTAACTTTTTTTAAAGTTTTCTGTATTCTGAAAGCTGACAGAAGTTAGTTTTTGATGCTTGACCATTTTAAGGCATCACACTTATTTCAGTATTATTAAATGAACAGTAATAAATTATATTCTAAACAATAGTGTATTAAAAATTTTAGAATAGAACGATTAATGCAAAAATAAATTGTATAGTCATGATAACCCTTAAGGATAAATTTACCTGTGTACTAATAAAATGTCTTTAGTTCCAGAGTTTCTGGCTGACATTACAGATATACATTGGCATTATACCTTTGATTCACATCATTTCATTGTAAAAGAGAATACAGAATTACAGGAGAAAAAAAGATGTGAGCTAAGAACAATAACAACTAAATTAGAAGGAGAAACATATTTAGGCAAGGGTGCTACTGTCTGTGTAATATAAAATTGACAGTAAAAAGCCCTTATAATTTCCATAAATAAGACTATTTTTAACAATAGGACATTACACACTCATAGAAATTCTGGAATAACATTACCTTAAATTGCAGCATGTGGTTGAGATGATATTTCACCTCCAGGCGTAGTGTACTAATTGGTGTAGTGAAATTCTCATTAGCTCTGGTCTTAGCACTGTTTAAAATGAGGTTGGCTGCCAAACCTGATGAGGTGTATTCTACTTTGTCTACAGAGTAAGCATTGTCGGAGCTGTAATAGCAGGGTGGAATATCTGAGTTTGATGTTACTTGCTGCAAACAGAAATAAGTTGCAGGTTAGTGAGCTACACTGGCCTGCTGTATTTCTTGTTAGTTATTAGCATGGAATCCAAAACTCCCATGTTTATCAGATAGCTGTCAAAAGTAGAATTTTGGGAAAAACTTAATGCAACTAATGAACAATAAAGAAGTAATACAGAACCCATTGATCTCTACACTAAATCATATATAATCAAACAATCCAGTGAAGACTGTACAAATAAGTCAGTCAGGAAACTGAATCCTCGCACAATGAAGGTGGATTTAATTTTCCTGTTTCTGTGATATTCAGCTCAATCACACAACATGGCTTAGTCTTGGCCTGTTGAAATTCCTAAAGTTTCCTCCCTTTTAATCCCATTGCTCTCTGGTCTCTGGCTCACACAAGAGGATGTGCCCAAAACTCATTAGATATTCAGGCAACATCAGACGAGACCTTTCCATTGGCTTTATTCACACGAATTATCCTTAAAATATCCACTGAGAATTACATTCTATTTATCTAAGATCTCCTGACAGCAAGATCAAAATTACTTTCGGTTTCTCTTTACGGTTGAACATAAACACTCAAACCAGGTATTCTGAGGTTAGATGCACTGATGTAGGTTAATGCATTAGCCTTCCACCTCTGGATATGTACTGTCAATCCTGCCTAGTTGTTCAAATGAAACTATGCCTGCTCCGCACATCTTAATTGCTAATGAATATTTATTCACCTGTCATCACCAAATTCAAAGCACCTTTCAAATGGTCTTCAAAACATACCCAGTCCATAACAGGACCAGAGTTCGATTTCACATGAAAAGCCATTTCCAAATATCCAAAATTACAAAAAAGTATTCCTAAGAGTGCAACAAAATCAACACAGTCCATCAACCGCTTCAGCTGTTGCTGCTTCAAGAGTAGCTAGCAGAGAATTTTGGTGTTCATGCCTAGGAGATGTGTCCAAGCTGTAAAATTTAGATTTAGAGGAGCATGGAGCAATTTAGTTGGAGGGACCGTCTAAAGTTCAACCCTGCCAGGGCTCGCTGCTCCCGTATGCTTATAGCCATGGGATGTTAATAAATAAAACTATGTGGTAAAGAAGAGCATGTTGGGGATTATGATTTGGATATACCTCCTCGACATGGATGGAAACAATTAAGTTCACATATGAATCAAAATTTCTGGGGGATTCAAGGATTTCTTCTCAAACTGAGATCCAGAGGAATCGGTTTGACTTAAAATGTGCTTCAGTGACTATGAAGGTGAGACAAAGGGGATAAGCCTTGCAGGCCACGGTGCCAGTGAGGCAGAAGAGGTAGCTGAAGATGCAGATCTCAAGTCTATTCTATTTTTTTCATAACTCTGGTATTATTTCTTTCCACCTTTCAAAAAATAGGACATTTTTCCTCAATTTCTGATATACTTTGGAAGAGCTTACGCGGTTGCCAACTACCTTAGTTTTAGTGAGGTAAATAAAATCTTCTAGTACAGGCCTGCAGCTGTCTGTGCCCCCATTTTATTTAAATCTGACAAATCTGCCAGACTACTTTTTCCACTGTAACAACTATAAAGAGAAAGCTATGATTCTGGAAACCTTTCTGTCTCATTAGTTTGGAGAAATGATTTTTGCTTACTTCCCAAACACAGCCAAGTTGTTCACATTTTTCTTGTGTTGGATTGGGACTGGGATAACAATTAAACCTTTCATTGACACTCAGCTTTTGAGTCCATTTTACTGTGTAAGATTTTCCCAGTTCAAGCTGAAGTCCTGTTATATGAGCAACCTATAAACGTCAAACAATAAACAGTTATTAAATCCCACATCACATCCATCTTTTCTTCAGTCAGCAGAGATGCTGGTCCTCAGGAACAATACATTTTTATGTGACAATTCACAAAAAAATCTGTCCTCTAACATATGATATAGTCTCACTTTTGCAAATAACAAATAACACACAACTGATATTCTTACAGACAAAATCTAAAAAATTAAGAATCTAAAAAAATGGAGTCAATCCCACAGCTTCTTTGGAAACAAACAGGAATAAAGATAAGGGCACACTTCCTTCACATTTTGAAATATGAATGCAAGAGTTAAGAAAAAGTTAAAATATTTTTATTTTGATTTTGTAACAGAGATAATGTAACAGGTAACTCAGGCACTTGTAATAATTAAAGAGGGTGTACAATGCAAGTTCAAAGCAATGCCAGCACTGTCCTTAGTGTGGGAAAGCTCTTTCATGAAAGCTTCCCACTAGCAGCAGCACGTTCGTTTGCTTTGCACATAAATGCACTGTGTTGCTGCTTTCCCGTATTCATGCTGTGAAAAGCTCTGTATAACATGATAAAGGAGGTTTAAACAGCGCATTTGATTTTGTTTTAAAAAAATCAATGCACAAATACTCATCTAAAACATAAATAATTTGTATCTTCCTCCAATATCAAACAAAATCACAAAGTATTCCTCCTCTTAGAAATTAAATTTTGCTACATGAATAACTGCATAACCAAACTTTCTGTTGCACTGAGCGTCTGAGAGCAGAACTTAGATGCACTTTCTATGCAGTTGAGTTGAATGCAATTGTACTTTTGTTCTGTAATAAAATACACGATGTATTCTGTTGAAACAACATTAGTACTGAGTAGTGTCCTTAGCAATATATAAAATAAAGGTGATGCAATTTCAAAGTTGTTTACTTCCCATTTTCCTGTTATTGTTTTACCTTTTCTAGAGGATAATAGGTGATATTAAGTAGAGCATTTTTCACAACATTGTTCTGAGATACAGTAACTGCCGTTATTTCCTGGAGCGCTCCCAATATCTTGATTTCTTCAAATTTCAAGTTGTTTGGAGCATAATTGCTGTTTATAACATTCATTTGTAGAACATTCTGAAAAATAATACAGTGATCATATTCTTATTAAAAAAATCTGCCAAAAATCCTCCTGATTTAACAATTTTTTCTAATTATATTTTCATATTGTAGCATAGAGTAAGCCAATACCTTTTTCCTAACATATTAATTATTGCCCCGCTTGTTCTCACAATAACGCTTTTCTAACATATATATAATATGCTTCATAGTTGTGTTTCAGCTTCCTTTTTTTGCTTGTTTCAGAAATAAGAAAAGGCTGACAGGTGTCTGTGACAGGACAGATAACCTCTACTCAACAGTGATCTCTCCGGGATCCAACAAGTGAAGGTTCATATTCACTTTTCCTGATATAAAAATACCAGTTCCTATTCAACTGCATTAGTTATTATTAGATTAAGAGTCCAAAGAGTGGAACTGTACCATGGCTGTCATATATGTCAGTGTATAACTTTCTTATTACTCTCCATGTGAAAGTTTATGTTCATTTTTAATTCAACATCATTACAGTCAATTGATGATTTGGCTAAAAGAGTTTCAAACTCCAATAGTAACTGAGGTTTCTTATCTACAAATGATTATATGATTACATATGATTAAAAAAATAATTAATTCATGTGCCTCCACCTTCTAGTCCTTTGCTTCCACTCCCACGTTTCTATGCATTCTCTCTCCGTTGTTGCCCTGCTGTTTTGTCATGGCAAGGGAAAGAATGCCTTTAACAGATATTATTATTATTATTATTACAAAAAAATGTGTTATCATATTACTTGGGATCCTCGTCATATGATAGCTCCATTCAATATTAAATAGAAACACTATCTGGACTTCACTCTGCCATAAATTAACCTTGCCAACACAGCTTCAGTTTAAAAAAATTAAAAACTAAAACTTAGTCATGAAGTAGATTCCGTGGGTTCAGACAAGGCGTAGGTTTCCCTCTCACTCTTTGGAAACAGACAGCTATATTTTTACAGTGTACAGAGACTGTTTTCACATTTCCAATATTTTGAGAATCCCAAACACTGCATTCACCTCCTTTCTGTCTCTGTTTTAACTGCCACTGATGCTTTACAGTTCTCTTGCTCAGTAAATATTGCTGCTGAGTTTGTTATGTGAAAGGAAACAGGAGTTGTTTAGATACTTACTGGGAGAGGAAAAGACAAACAGCAGATTATCATCCCAGTTAAATTACAGTATTTTGAACATAACTCTGCTTTGACTTTGTCAAATACTTTGCTTCTCGATAAATATTACAGGAGAATAAGGAGGGAGAAAAGAATGCCCTTTGAAGAGAATATTGATAAAAATTGAAAATGAAAATAAGAACATCTAAAATACTTACATTGGAAACTGTAAACTCGTAGTAAATGTATGCTTTACTCTCAACTGTACCTAAAAGGTAAAGAAAGAATTTACACTTGCAGTGCAGAAAGGAACAACATTGAAAAACAAGACCGTGCCACTGCTAGAGACCAATAAATTGCTAGTTATTATCATTATTGCGTTCAGAGGCTGCACTGAGCAACTCAAATATTTACTAATGTTTCTCTGAGGAACTGAAATTTCTCTTCTTCTTTTGTCCTTAGGCCAGTCTCCCAGGAGATCTAATGTTCCAAATTTTTCCAAAAATGCATTGAAATTAGCTTTTCTAAAATGTACTAAATGTACATTATTTATTTTACTGTTATTCCTTCTTATCTTCGCTTAAATGTAGATGTATGGCTCAAAGTTAATCCTTTAAAATACCTTAAATAAGTACTTTTCATGCAAAAATGACAATAATATTAATAATCTATGCCACAGAACCATAAGAGTGGAAATAACACAAACAGAAATGCAAAAGTTGAGTCAATCTGGCATTTTTTGTTCCATGTGCAAAAAGAATACTACTACCATTGCCAGCAAATTGTAAACAGTTTTCCTGAAAAGACTGCAGCCTGTAAGTTTTGGGCAGGAAATAACATCATAAGATGTTTTATTGTTTTATTTCTCAACAGAAGTGAGTACAATAATAGCTTCATTATTTTAGGTCCTGACAAAGGAGTACATATAGCTGTCATATAGCAACCACCCAAGGCCTTCAATATTTATGGCAGCAATAATCAGCATAATCACAGCTCTATTTCTTAAAAGCATCCCAAACTTCCACAGAATTTAAAAAAGTAGAGGCTTGATAGTTTTTTTCTGGGAGATATGAAAGGTACAGTTAAAATAACAAGAGAGAGTTATACCAGTTGAATGCATAATGTAGAGGACAAGGTAGTTATGCAATTAGG